GGGGAGGCATTATACAACTTAAGAAATTTGCTTTGCTTGTAGACACCTTTCCAATTCAGTGTGTTCCTAGGACAGCAGGAGAAAAAAAAAAAAAAAAAAGATCCCCAGGTCACCTATGATAAGGAAAGGCAGCTACAATCTCTTGGGGGCAGGGGCAAACTTCTAGGACTCTTTACTGGTAAGGGAGTCGCAAAGAGTTTGGCAAATGAACATATCATGGAAGAAGTTCCATGTTTGAGGCAGTGTTGACTTTGAGTGCTCTGTGGGAGCTTGGACATGGGAATTAGGAAGCTGAAACAAGCCTGGATGCCGTGGGATAACTAACCCATGCGGGTAGCTCCACTTTGGATCCAGCTGGCTGTGTATGCACCAGGCAAAGCAGAGAAAATGGCCCAAGTGCTTGAACCCCTTCACCTATGTGGGAGCCCCAAATGAAGTTCGAGACCCTGGCCACTGCTGTTATGTGGAGAGTGAACCAGGGGGTGAAGCGTAGTCACCTTTTCTCTTCTCTCTCTTACCCTCCCTTCCATTCTGCCTTTTCAAACAAATCTTTGAAAACAGACAAAAAGGATGCCAAAGCAAAGCACGAGGTAGTGTTGCATCCTCCCTTAGCTTTCTGTGTACTGATTTTGCAGAGGACTTCTCTTGGCTGGACAGACAGCAAAGAAAAATGCCCAGGTGGGGAAGTCTTCATTGTGCTCTGAAGTGGGGAAAAGTCCCAGTGTGCCAGGACACTGGAGAAGTGGCCACAGCCTGCATGACTGGCATCATTTTTCCCAAACACCACTCAGACTGATGCCTGTAGAGGTGGGCAGGGCAGGAATTAAGAGCAGATTAGTCTGCTTTCTCTCCTGCAGACTAACAAGGCTGGGTTATTACACGGATTAAACAAGGCAGTGCAGGTAAAAACTCCATTTGTGGGGAGTGGCCATTGCCATAGTCAAAGCCTGCTTCTCTGACCAAACCCCATCTACAGCCGCACTGGGAATCACCTGCCACAGATTCCTCAGAAGCCAGACTCACCTGGCGGCAGGAAGAGCGTGGCCCGCACCCGGCCCGCGCGCACCGCCTCACGCCGCACCCCCGGCGGCAGGAAGTGGCGCTCCAGCACCGCGCGGGTCAACACCCGCTCCGGCTCGGGGTCGTGGCCGTCCAGCACCTCCAGCTCCACTACGAACGGCGTCTGCACGTCCCGCTTGATCAGCCGCCACAAGCGCCTGTCGGGCTCCATGGCCCAGAACAGCCCCATGGGCTCGAGCCCGGCGAAGCTGCCGCCCAGCGCGGGCGCGCGCTCCAGGTCCAGCTCGCCGCGGGCATCGGCGCAGTAGCGCGCGTGGGCGCGGAAGAGCGCGCCCTTCTCGTCGCGCAGGGCCGAGCGCAGCGTGACCGGCTGCTCGGGGGCCAGGCCGCGAACGGCGATGCGCAGCGGCTCGTCCCAGCAAGAGGGGCCCGCGGGCTCCACGCTCACAGCCGCGCCTTCCATCCCGGTCGTGGAGCAAAAGTGGAGCCGGGAAGCTGGAAGTGGCGGCCTAAGTGCCCTCGGAGGTCGTGGCGAGCGCGCGGGGAGTCGCAACAAAGTCCGGCGCCGGGAGCGCACGGACGCTCCAGCAGGCGTTTGGAGGCTGCCAAGGCGTGCGTGGACCACGCTCAGCTCCTCTGAGGCGCAAGGAGCAAGGAGTCCGGCTCTTTTCTGAGGTACCGGGAGCACAGCTGTTCGGCGGCCGGGGCGGGGCCGGGACGCCCATAGGTTCTGGGAGGGAGGCGGGCCCCGCTCGGAGTGCGAATCTCTGCCCTGTTTGGATGGAAGGTGTTGTTGGGAGATCGCCAGGTGGAAATAGGGACGTGGATGAGAGCAAGCCGTGGACTCCACGGCGACTTGCAAACTTGACTTTTCCTGAAGTAGAACCTTGTCTTAGTTCGCTGCTTGCTGCTATGACAGGATGATGGTGTGACGGACAATCGCTTCAAGAACACAGGGTTTATTTCCTACAGCTGAGTGGGCTAAATCCACTCCTGCCAGGGTTCCTGCTTGCTGTGTCATCCCCTGGTCAAAGGGCAGACGGGCGGGCCAGAAGGCTGCGGGAAGAAGGGGACCGCACTCATTGTTTTGCCGGAAGCCCAGTCCGGGAATAAATAACCCAGTCTCACCACAGGGACAGGGCCGCACTCGGGAGCACTGAGCCCTCGGGATTTAAGCATCTCTTCAAAGTCCCATCTCTGCCTTCTGCCTCATTGGGCGTTCCTTTCCAACACGTGAGATTGGGGCGACCCTATGGCAAACTTGAAGCCCACAGGTACGGTTCAGTGAGGGTGTGCAAGCCCAGCATACCTGTGGAAGCATGCAAAGGGGTCCTTGGCAGCCCCTCAGCTGCGGCACGTAGCCCCGCTGCAGGCACTTGTCCCTGGCTCTGAGGTGACACATCCTCATCTGTGGCTTGTCTTCTCCGTGTTTGTGTGCCTTCCCACACCGTGCTAACGAGAATCATCAGTGACCTAGGCTGCTGTTACACTCTCTCTACTGTGAGCATGCCATTTGTGATTTTAAAGGCGTTTGTTCATTTCCTGTTATGGGGTTTCCATCGTTGCCAGTTTAGAACTGTTAGGCATACGGTTATGGATATGAAGAAAGCATGTGTTTTGCTGGGCTTGTGTAAGTGTGCATCGACAGTGTACAGGAGTGGAAGTGCTGTGCCTCGGGGAATGGGAAACTTCAGTCTCACTAGATCTTAGTAGCAACCTTAGAATATGGACTTAGAGTGCTATAGCTATAATGTATCAACTCTATAAATCTATCATGCTATGTGCATATGTGTGTGTATATATCCAAATATGGTGTTTACTCATATAGATATTACCTTTGGTTGCTGTCCCATCTGTTTTGCTGCCGAGTTGACGTGTGTACAAAACACCAGGAGCATTTTTCAAATACTACAGAGGACACAACTGCCTGCCCTCATTCTTTTTTCTTCCTGTTGCTGACATTTGAAGTTACTTCAACAAGTATTCCGCTGGTCCCTAAGCCTCATTGTTTACAACATGGATTCTTTCCTGGACATGTTTTTCACCTTCAAGGAAGCATTATCGGGGCTGGCATTGAGGCATAAAGAATAAAGCTGCTGCTTAAGAAGCAGCCAACAAACCCTCCTTACATCAGAATCCATGTGGTGTGAAAAGTCAGGCCTGGCGTGATGGCTCAGTGGCTACATCCACCCCTTGCATGTGCTGGTATCCCGTATGGGCGCCGGTTTGTGTCTCTCTGCCCCACTTCCCTTCCATCTCCCTGTTTGTTGCCTGGGAAAGCAGTTGAGAATGGCCCAAAACTTTGGGGCTCTGATCCTGTGTGAGGGACCCAGAAAAAGCTCCTGTCTCATGGCTTCAGATGGGCTCACCTCCTGCCATTATAGGCACTTGGGGCCTGAATGAGTAGATGGGAGATCTCTCTCTAACTCTGGCTTTTAAGTAAAAAAAATTTTTTAAATCTTTTTAAAAAGTAGTATCTTAATCTCAGAAACTGAGGTCATGGTTCCTACCCTATAACAGAACAGGAACCTCTGAAAAGGGAGACGGATGCTCAGCATTCATTTTTGTAAGATTTATTTTTAAAATTTTTATTGGAGAGTCAGATATAAACAGAGGATGAGAGAAAGAAAGATCTTATGTCCGATGATTCACTCCCCAAGTGACCACAACTGCTGATGCTGTGTCGATGTGGAGCCAGGAGCCAGGAACTTCCTCCAGGTCTCCCACGTAGGTACAGGATCCCAAGGCTTTGGGCCATCCTTGACTGCCTTCCCGTGCCACAAGCAGGAAGCTGGATTTGAAGTGGAGCTGCTGGGATTAGAACTGGTGCCCATATGAGATCTTGGCATTCAAGGCGAGGACTTCAGCTACTAGGCCATGCCACTGGGCCGTGCCAGCATTCTTTTAAGCAGCCCCTCCAAAAATTTAAGGCAGTTTTTTTAAAGATTTATTTTTTAATTGGAGTCAGATCTAAAGAGAGGAGGAGAGATGGCAAAAAATATCTTGCATCTAATGCTTTCCCAGGCAACTGGCAGTGAGCCTGATGCAAAGTGGAGCAGCCAGGACATGAACCAATGCCCATATGGGATCCTGCCACATGGAAGGCGAAGATGTTAGCTACTAGGCCATTATATCGTGTCATTAAGCTTTTGCTCATGTCATGAATGAATTTCTTAACAAAAATAACGTTTAATGACACACTACACTGTTGTAAAGCTCTTGTTTTACTTCTAACAGTAATCTTCTACTAGAGGCATTAAAGGCTAAAATTCCTAGAGAAACACTCTGTCCAGTTTGTTCTATTCTCCTCCTTCTGCTACAGTACCAAATGTGCTGCCATAATCTCCTTTTACAACAGGGATGGAGTCTACCTTTCAATGTCTTTCATTACATAGGACGTGTTTGTGCAAAGACTTCTCTAGACTGAGTTTCTTAACCTAAAATAGCCAGTCTCAGTCCCCTCATTTACTTAAAGTGCAGTTGCCTGGCTGGTGAAGTCCCCAGCCATTACTCCTCACCTGTCACATTCTCCCTCAGCAGTCCTCCCTCCCACACATCTCTAGACCCACGTCCCTGAGCAAACCACAAACCCACAAGCATGCAGATTCCCAAGCCCAATCTTCCCGTGGTGTGCAACACCAGCCTGGGGTCCTGCCTGCCTACCCAGGGCCCATGCACATTTGGGTGTGGGTCCCCAGAGCCTGTATGCTGACACCTCTCCCAACATATATTTAGAAAAAAAAAAAAACCAAAAAGAAACAAGAACATAGGCAACAATGCTGGCACACTGGCATAGATAACTCAAACCTGGCATTAACCAGACCCAGGATGCCCAATAGCTATTAGCTACTTTTCTCCCAGAAGTGTAACACTTGTCTAGGTACAACACAATCTAGGCAGTTGCCTACAATTGGAGTGCAAAAACAACCTTTCAATAAAGTTACCCAAACACACTAGAAAGGATATGAATTTAGTGTTATGCAATAGACAAATGACTCACATACAGTTACTGAATGCTTGAATTCAACCTTGAGTCTCCCAAGTCAACATTAGACAAAATACATTACAGTTTAGGGGCAGGTCTCATCTGGGCACCTCCAAGGTATTTGCCAAAGAAGGATATTATCTCCTTCCAGGCATCTACCTGGGCAAGAGAATGAGCTCTGGGCTCCCCACCCCAGAGAACAGGTTTGTTTGGTAGTCTGTGCAAGGAAGCTGGACACATGGGGAAGAAAGGAGGCTCAATGTAATGCCCAGTGCCAGCATAGGCGATGATCTGGGGGCCTTCCTTTCCATGTGCCTGTAGCCGGTCTGAGATTAACTGAGCATATGACTGACTCCTCCAGTTGTGGTCATCCGCACCAACAATGCACAGGATGGGTCCCTGGGCCTTCTCTACTGGAATCATACTGGGATGCTCATGCCCTCCTATAACATCATTCCGGATATCCACAATGTCAAGAAGGCCTGAGAATGCTACCTTGGTTCTCCTCAGGTCATGACCCAATGGTAGGATGCTGGTCTGTTGGTAGTGTATGGGTATATTTGCACTGAACCCAGATCCATTGATGGAAACAGTGGCTGAGACATTCTTCAAGAAGGAAGCCATTGAGAGACAAATGTCAGCTCCTAGAGAAATACCCAGAAGCCCAATGCCTGGTCCCTTGACCTGAAAGGAAATCAGTGAGGAGAGATGAGTCAGGAATTTATGCAACACACAAACACCTTTGTCTATATAACTAGAGATGCTCTTGGCTTTCACTGGTGACTTGCCTGCAACCTCAGTTCACAGGGGTGACATCCGTTGGACTAAGTAGCTGGCTGAATACATGGTCAACCAGTTTTAGCCACAGTGGCAAACACAGACACTGGTTATAAAAAAAATCTTCCAGAGCATCAGTCACAAGATGGGACTGAACCACAGAGTCTGTGAATTACAGGATCCCCTTGGGACAGGCCCCATTCAAGGCTTAAATGTGGCCGTGGGGTTTCCATTGGTCACACAGCAAGTTAAGCTACCACCTGTGACACCAGCTAGCTATATTGGAGAGCTGGCTGCTCTGCTTCTGACTCGGCTTCCTGCTATGTGCCTGGGAAGGCAGAGGAGGAAGAAATAATTGGACCACTGCCACTCACCTGGGAGACCAGGCTGGGCTCAGGGCTCCAGGCTCCAGGCTCTGCCATGACCTAAACCTGAGTATGGTTGTGGATCCAAATTCAGACCCCGTCTAATATATGGGCAAATGATTACCTTTCCAGAAATTAAGCAAGGTTGCAGAGTCCAACTAAGTGATCCTTGGCCTCTAAGGTGGTAGGCAAGTTCTGATCAAAATATGGGGAACATGCTCTGATGTCAGAAAATGAAAAAGATGAAAGCTCAAGCATGCAAAGTAATCAGAAGTTCAATTTGAATTACAAAGGGGGTTTAAATGCTAGTAGTAAACTCTCACCCAGAATTGGTGATTAATTCTACAGCATGAACCCATTTGACAGGAAGTGGAAATAAGGGGCACTAGAAGCCCATGTCAGTCTCACACACACACACACAGACACACACACACGTCTGTGATTAACTAGCGGCAGCACAGCCCCTGGCACAGGTGGCATGCACTATGAAGAGATTTCTGGAGAGACTGATTCAATAAAGGGCATGACGAGAACCTGGGGGTGTTCAATCATGTAGCACAGAGCTTCTTCAAAGTAGTCCAGGTTTATGCTGTCACATTTCTTAGGGAGATCTTCAAAGTTATAAAAAGCTAGCGCCATTGTGGCAAAGCCATGGCCAGCCAGAAGGCTGGCTCGATATTCCATGAGGCCCCCTCCAACACCAAAGATGTCAATGACCCCAGGGAAGGGTCCAGGTCCTAAAGAAGGGAACAAGATAAAGGGGAGGCATTATACAACTTAAGAAATTTGCTTTGCTTGTAGACACCTTTCCAATTCAGTGTGTTCCTAGGACAACAGGAGAAAAAAAAAAAATCCCCAGGTCACCTATGATAAGGAAAGGCAGCTACAATCTCTTGGGGGCAGGGGCAAACTTCTAGGACTCTTTACTGGTAAGGGAGTCGCAAAGAGTTTGGCAAATGAACATATCATGGAAGAAGTTCCATGTTTGAGGCAGTGTTGACTTTGAGTGCTCTGTGGGAGCTTGGACATGGGAATTAGGAAGCTGAAACAAGCCTGGATGCCGTGGGATAACTAACCCATGCGGGTAGCTCCACTTTGGATCCAGCTGGCTGTGTATGCACCAGGCAAAGCAGAGAAAATGGCCCAAGTGCTTGAACCCCTTCACCTATGTGGGAGCCCCAAATGAAGTTCGAGACCCTGGCCACTGCTGTTATGTGGAGAGTGAACCAGGGGGTGAAGCGTAGTCACCTTTTCTCTTCTCTCTTACCCTCCCTTCCATTCTGCCTTTTCAAACAAATCTTTGAAAACACAGACAAAAAGGATGCCAAAGCAAAGCACGAGGTAGTGTTGCATCCTCCCTTAGCTTTCTGTGTACTGATTTTGCAGAGGACTTCTCTTGGCTGGACAGACAGCAAAGAAAAATGCCCAGGTGGGGAAGTCTTCATTGTGCTCTGAAGTGGGGAAAAGTCCCAGTGTGCCAGGACACTGGAGAAGTGGCCACAGCCTGCATGACTGGCATCATTTTTCCCAAACACCACTCAGACTGATGCCTGTAGAGGCGGGCAGGGCAGGAATTAAGAGCAGATTAGTCTGCTTTCTCTCCTGCAGACTAACAAGGCTGGGTTATTACACGGATTAAACAAGGCAGTGCAGGTAAAAACTCCATTTGTGGGGAGTGGCCATTGCCATAGTCAAAGCCTGCTTCTCTGACCAAACCCCATCTACAGCCGCACTGGGAATCACCTGCCACAGATTCCTCAGAAGCCAGACTCACCTGGCGGCAGGAAGAGCGTGGCCCGCACCCGGCCCGCGCGCACCGCCTCACGCCGCACCCCCGGCGGCAGGAAGTGGCGCTCCAGCACCGCGCGGGTCAACACCCGCTCCGGCTCGGGGTCGTGGCCGTCCAGCACCTCCAGCTCCACTACGAACGGCGTCTGCACGTCCCGCTTGGTCAGCCGCCACAAGCGCCTGTCGGGCTCCATGGCCCAGAACAGCCCCATGGGCTCGAGCCCGGCGAAGCTGCCGCCCAGCGCGGGCGCGCGCTCCAGGTCCAGCTCGCCGCGGGCATCGGCGCAGTAGCGCGCGTGGGCGCGGAAGAGCGCGCCCTTCTCGTCGCGCAGGGCCGAGCGCAGCGTGACCGGCTGCTCGGGGGCCAGGCCGCGAACGGCGATGCGCAGCGGCTCGTCCCAGCAAGAGGGGCCCGCGGGCTCCACGCTCACAGCCGCGCCTTCCATCCCGGTCGTGGAGCAAAAGTGGAGCCGGGAAGCTGGAAGTGGCGGCCTAAGTGCCCTCGGAGGTCGTGGCGAGCGCGCGGGGAGTCGCAACAAAGTCCGGCGCCGGGAGCGCACGGACGCTCCAGCAGGCGTTTGGAGGCTGCCAAGGCGTGCGTGGACCACGCTCAGCTCCTCTGAGGCGCAAGGAGCAAGGAGTCCGGCTCTTTTCTGAGGTACCGGGAGCACAGCTGTTCGGCGGCCGGGGCGGGGCCGGGACGCCCATAGGTTCTGGGAGGGAGGCGGGCCCCGCTCGGAGTGCGAATCTCTGCCCTGTTTGGATGGAAGGTGTTGTTGGGAGATCGCCAGGTGGAAATAGGGACGTGGATGAGAGCAAGCCGTGGACTCCACGGCGACTTGCAAACTTGACTTTTCCTGAAGTAGAACCTTGTCTTAGTTCGCTGCTTGCTGCTATGACAGGATGATGGTGTGACGGACAATCGCTTCAAGAACACAGGGTTTATTTCCTACAGCTGAGTGGGCTAAATCCACTTCTGCCAGGGTTCCTGCTTGCTGTGTCATCCCCTGGTCAAAGGGCAGACGGGCGGGCCAGAAGGCTGCGGGAAGAAGGGGACCGCACTCATTGTTTTGCCGGAAGCCCAGTCCGGGAATAAATAACCCAGTCTCACCACAGGGACAGGGCCGCACTCGGGAGCACTGAGCCCTCGGGATTTAAGCATCTCTTCAAAGTCCCATCTCTGCCTTCTGCCTCATTGGGCGTTCCTTTCCAACACGTGAGATTGGGGCGACCCTATGGCAAACTTGAAGCCCACAGGTACGGTTCAGTGAGGGTGTGCAAGCCCAGCATACCTGTGGAAGCATGCAAAGGGGTCCTTGGCAGCCCCTCAGCTGCGGCACGTAGCCCCGCTGCAGGCACTTGTCCCTGGCTCTGAGGTGACACATCCTCATCTGTGGCTTGTCTTCTCCGTGTTTGTGTGCCTTCCCACACCGTGCTAACGAGAATCATCAGTGACCTAGGCTGCTGTTACACTCTCTCTACTGTGAGCATGCCATTTGTGATTTTAAAGGCGTTTGTTCATTTCCTGTTATGGGGTTTCCATCGTTGCCAGTTTAGAACTGTTAGGCATACGGTTATGGATATGAAGAAAGCATGTGTTGTGCTGGGCTTGTGTAAGTGTGCATCGACAGTGTACAGGAGTGGAAGTGCTGTGCCTCGGGGAATGGGAAACTTCAGTCTCACTAGATCTTAGTAGCAACCTTAGAATATGGACTTAGAGTGCTATAGCTATAATGTATCAACTCTATAAATCTATCATGCTATGTGCATATGTGTGTGTATATATCCAAATATGGTGTTTACTCATATAGATATTACCTTTGGTTGCTGTCCCATCTGTTTTGCTGCCGAGTTGACGTGTGTACAAAACACCAGGAGCATTTTTCAAATACTACAGAGGACACAACTGCCTGCCCTCATTCTTTTTTCTTCCTGTTGCTGACATTTGAAGTTACTTCAACAAGTATTCCACTGGTCCCTAAGCCTCATTGTTTACAACATGGATTCTTTCCTGGACACGTTTTTCACCTTCAAGGAAGCATTATCGGGGCTGGCATTGAGGCATAAAGAATAAAGCTGCTGCTTAAGAAGCAGCCAACAAACCCTCCTTACATCGGGATCCATGTGGTGTGAAAAGTCAGGCCTGGCGTGATGGCTCAGTGACTACATCCACCCCTTGCATGTGCTGGTATCCCATATGGGCGCCGGTTTGTGTCTCTCTGCCCCACTTCCCTTCCATCTCCCTGTTTGTGGCCTGGGATAGCAGTCAAGAATAGCCCAAAGCTTTGGGGCTCTGATCCTGTGTGAGGGACCCAGAAGGAGCTCCCGACTCATGGCTTCAGATGGGCTCACCTCCTGCCATTATAGGCACTTGGGGCCTGAATGAGTAGATGGGAGATCTCTCTAACTCTGGCTTTTAAGTAAAAAAATTTTAAAAATCTTTTAAAAAAGTAGTATCTTAATCTCAGAAACTGAGGTCGTGGTTCTTACCCTGCAACCGAACAGGAACCTCTGAAAAGGGAGATGGATGCTCAGCATTCTTTTAAGTAACCCCTCCAATAATTTAAGACAGTTTTTTCAAAAGATTTATTTATTTATTTTAGTTGGAGAGTCAGATATAATGAGAGGTGGCGAGACTCAGAGGAATATTTTCCATCGAACACTTTCCCAAGCAACAAGCAGTGACTGGATGGAAAGTAGAGCACTTGGAGACGAACCCATGCTTATATGGGATCCTGGCACATGGAAGGTTGGACGTTAGCTACTAGGCTATTGTGTCATTTTATTAAATCAGTTGTCACGGAAAATGAAGTTGAATGACACACTGCACCTTTTGTAATGTTCTTGTTTTGTTCTAAGAAGATTCATCTGGTAGAAGCAGTAAATGACAAAATTCCCAGAGAAACACTGTGATTTCCTTTAACATCTCAAAAGCATCTCAGAAAACCTAGTTCCATGTACTGTTCTGAGGAAAAATCACTTAAAAGAGTTACCTGATCCTGTTTAAAACCTTTAAATCTTTTGTTTTTCAATTGATGAGATAATTTTTTCCTACTTAAAAGGAAGGAAAAGTTCTTTAAATTTGACAGAATCATCATATTCAGTATGACAACATGGCATAGAAAATGACACAAGCCTAAAGTGATTTAATGTCATGGCAGATACAAAAAGAAGAATGATTTTCCCATCATTGATTCATCGGAACGAACTGAAAATAAGAGGCCCATCTTTTTCACTTTCCAATATTTTCTTTGGGGGGAGGGTATCAATAATTATCTTCTTTTTATTAAAAATATTAAATTGTGACTTCTCTCACTGATCATTAACTGTCAATTTCCATAGCATATAAAAGGCATATATACTCTGGCCAGTACAGTGACTCAGTCCTCTTCCTGTAAGTGTGGCATCTCATATGGGCACCAGTTCAGTGTCAGCTTGCTGTACTTCCCATCCAGTTCCCTGCTTGTGGCCTGGGAAAGCAGTAGAGGATGTGATCCTGCTCCAACATGGGAGACTAAGATGAAGCTCCTGGCTCCTGGTTTTGAATCGGCTCAGCTCTAGCCATCGTGTCTATGTGGGGGAGAGAACTAGATGATGGAACATCTTTGTCTTTCCTTCTGTCTATAAATCTGGCTTTCCAAAAGAAATAAATAATTCTTTCTAATGAAAAATCAGGTGCAGTGATGTGGCTACATAGTAGATAAGATGGTGCTTGAGAAAGATGGTGCTGCATCCTCTATCAGGATGGCTCAAGAGCTTAGTCCCTTCAACCCACATGGGAGGCCTGGATGAAACTCCTGGCTCCTTCTTGCACCTTGCACCGGCTAGGTCAGTCATTGTGGCCAGTTGGGAAGTGAGTAGATGAACTATCTTTCTCTGTTGTCTCTCTCTCTCTCTCTCTCTCTCTCTCTCTCTCTCTCTGTAGCTTTGTCTTTCAAAGAAAATAAATGAATCTTTATATTAGAAACAAATGGGAAAAGAAGTTAATTTATCCTTTTGTAGTAAACTCACCACAAAAGTATAACATGGAAACAAAGTGTTGCATACTGATAGACCCTAGTACAAGCTTTTAAAATGAATATTTTTTACATAAAAAAGTGGAGTTTACACAGCTGCAATACAGGTGTGTTTACCCTTCCCACCAATTTTTGCCATAGTATCAAATTTCTGGGTACTTTAGTTTATCTTTCCTTAGTATGAATTTTAAGATTAGACATATAAGGCCTTGAATTTTTTTTTTTGAAGATTTATTTATTTCATTGAAAGTCAAAGACATTGAGCTGCTTGTTCACTCTCCAGTTAGCCACAATGGCCAGGGCTGGACCAGGCCAGAGCCAGGACCCAGGAATTCTTTCAGATTTCCATATGGGTGGCAGGGTGGCATCTTCTACTGCTTTTTCCAGACCATTATCTGGCAGCTGGAGGAGAAATGGAACAGCTGGGACATGAACCAGTGTCACAGGCAGCAGCTTTACCAGCCACACCACAATACTGGCCCCAAAGCCTTTGAATTTTTTGCTGTTAAAATCGGTGCTATAGTTTATGAAGCACAAGGTTTTTAAAGACCTTTTTTTTTTTTTAAAAACATTGAGGGTTTGTTTGTTTGTTTGTTTGTTTATTCTTGGAAAAGGAGGTATACAGAGAAAGATCTTTTATCCTCTGGTTCACTCCCTAAGTGGCTGCGTTGGCTGGAGCTCAGCCAATCCAAAGCCAGGAGCCAGGAGCCTCTTCCAGGTCTCCCACGTAGGTGCAGGTCCTAAGGCTTTGGGCCATCCTCGACTGCTTTCCCAGGTCACAAGCAGGAAGCTGGATGGGAAGTGGAGCAGCCAGGATACAAACAAGTACTCTTCTGACATGGCACTTGAAGTCCTCTGCAAGTCTAAATGAGCTGACTATTATGTCTGTCTTCTGTAACCTGGGCATGCTATCCTCTGCGTAGCCATCAGCAATCAAGAAGGCCCAGTCCCAATACATGTATTCTATTGTTGAACCACCAATCCTGTGATTTTTCCTGTATCCTCTTTTGAGTCCAGAGGTCCAGTTGTGTAATCCCTCAAAAAACCTGATGTGGGGTGGCCTCAGACCTGACTCTTGTATGTGCCAGGCAGTACAGGGTCTGGTTGTCTGTCACCCACATCAGCCAAGATACAGTGGTAATTGCAGTTGCCTGGTCAGTTCCATCACCAGCCCATGTCCTTTGCAAACTGATGAGTATTATGGCCCAGCCTAACCCAGCCTGCCCCAGGCCTGGCCACTGCATATGCCAGTGGAAACTGCAGCCTAGTTAGGGCAACCCCCAGGAACTCCAATTAGGCCCACCCCTATCACCGGTTTTTGCACATGCCAGTATGTACAGCAGACTATTCTGGTACCTGCAGCATCCCAATGGGACTCTTGTGTTATACCTATGGGTGTTGCAGCTTAGCCCAGCCCATCCCACCCCATA